AGTCCATCGTTGTAACTATTGCACCTGTTTTTTATAATATTCTTCAATATCTCTGAATCATTGTCGACTGAAATAAGCTATTGAATTGTTTTACACGTATACTATTCAAAGCGGAAAATGAAATATTTAAAAAACAACGGAAGATGCCAGGTCATTCAATAGGTTTGCAGCTATATTAACATTATATATGAATTGATATTTTTTGTTCACATACAAAATTTCTTCGTTCAACTGTTGCTCCTCTTACTTTTTGTTTACGTTCTCGTCAAAAATAAATGTTTACATGTATTTTCTTCGAGAAGACAAAAATAACGTAAAATATCTACTTACCGGCAATAGCCCAATCATATTAATTTGTTTTCGATCAAGTAAATCGTTTAGAAAATCTTCAACATAATCAGCAGCTGCATCAGGTATTTTCATACCGACAATAAACCAAAATGCATTCCACCAATCAAAAAATGTTTTTTCATCATTATCACATGCCAATGAATGTATTTCTTTTATACATGATTCATAAAGACGAACATCAGCTTCATCCTTTAGACATTGTGCAATTTTAAACCAGAGATTCATTGCTATTATATGTTCGAGTGACATTTGTCCATTTTCATTTTGATATGGACGTTTAAGTGCAGTTAGAATCAATGAAGCCAATTGACGATGAATTTCTTGTGGAAAATTTTTAAGAATTTCAATATACTTTCCTAATTGTGTTGCCAAAGTCTAAATGTAAATAATTTTCGGTTAAATAACGTTTTATAGAATCGTTCTTACAATGAAGAATGATGCCATCATTGGACTTGCTGTTTCTTTACTATCATCATCCTCATTATCGATAACTCTTTGTTCGAGTACTTTAATAAATTGAGAACAAATTTCCATAGTAACTTGTTTTTGATCGATAAGTTCTGTCATCGGTCGTCCCATTCTATAAACATGTGTATCCCATGACTTTTTACTACTATTCTCGGTCGGTGCTGCTGACCAACGAAGTATAGCTGTTAAAGCTTCATCATGTGTTGATCGAAAAATGATGTTATTAACTTTAGCTCTATCGACAACTAATTGAAGAATATTTTCAAGTGTATCAAGATCGCTAAAATAATTTGTTTCATTTAATTTATCATAGGCAGCACATAATCGAACGAAATCTTTGAATTTTGGTGCTAATTCTTTCCATGGATAAAAGTCAGCTTTTTCAAGTAAACGCCAAGCACATTGAGGTGCTTCCAGTACACATAAATCAAGTATGATAAGAACAAAATCAAAAAAGAGTGGTGCAAATTTTTTGTTACACTTGACCCTACCCAATTTATAAACTAAAGATGATATAACTCGTTTACATAATTCATTTCGACTATTGATATTTACTATTGGACATGTACGTATAAACATACGAATTAAAGAATCCATGATATCCATTGCCGAATCGATATGAACAATGATTACACTATCGATAAAATTGTAAGCTTTCTCGATCTGATCAAATAATAGAAGTTTTTCAATCACAGTCGAAAATTCCGATGAATTCATTTTGAATAGATGAGCATTTTTCTTATAGGATTTAACAAGCAAATCCAGAAAGTCACTGGAAATCGGTTGTTTGACACATTCTACTAGATCAGCTTGTGCATCACTTGCATTTGAATACTCATCAAATAATGTTGGTAATGTTCGTGTCAATGTTGATACAACACCTGACCAGACTTGTGATTGATGAGACATACGAGCAGCATACCTTTAGATACAAAAAAAAAAGAATTTATATTAACATGTTATGTAGGAATGTCTCAATATTTTTCACACTTTTGTAAAGAATAGAATTCTTAGTCAACATATAATTCGCAATCGACCTATTATTCAATATTTTCAAGAAGAATAATTCGATTTAACAACGGATGTGAATGTAGATAAGGTATTCTATTCGTAGCTTTTCTCTTCATGCCGATTACAAAATATTATGCGCATTGATCTTATCAAATATCAACATTAAGTTTGAAGAAAAATTGAGAATAATCACGTTTTGATATGAAAATCGTTTGTCGGATCTAAAATCATGATCAGATCATCTTACATGGATTCTCGATGTGCTTGAAATCATATTTTTTCCTACTAATTTCGACGAGCATCTATCTACATATGTATTTTACACTTCTCAAGTTTTATCTTTTGTTTATTTTTTTTTTGATTTTGCTTATATAAATGTATTGAAATTAATTTGACGTTCTCATTATTAAATTTCTTATTCCTACTTGAAAAATTGTTGATAGGCAGGTCGCATCGTCAGCATTGTTTCTTCACGACTTAATACATTTGTATCCATTGACAATGATGAGAACATTTGTCTAGATAAAAATTCTTTCCATTTTTCTTGTGTCTGTTTATCTGTTTCTCCATTTAAAAATGAATGTTTTTGAAAACTTTGAAAAATTGATTCAATCAAATCGATCGATTTTGTCGATGATAAACGTTCACCAAGTTTAAATTTATAATAGAAAGTTTTAATACAGGCTAGATGCCATTTATGAAATATATTATTTGTATCGAGAATACGCCGCAAAATACGTACAAGATCAGTCAATGATGGTAATGGATCATCGACTAATAATTTTACAGTGTGTTCGATAAACACAATTTTAACATCGATCGGTTCGCTATCATTTGTTGATTCTGCAAGTGCATAATCGACAAGAGCAACTAAAACTTTGACCTTGAAATTTATAATATCACTATGTTTCTCTTCATATTCATTGAACATTTTTCGCACTTGATCATATATATTCGGCCATTGATCTTCGAACAGTTGATTATCATGAGTCAATTGTCGAATAAACTCATCCATTCTTTACAATTCCACGTATATGTTTATTTGAATAACGACTAAATAGTTTTCGTTATCGATAAGAATGAGTAAATATCAAGAAAAACAATCCTGTTGATAAAAAGAATAACAGATCTTACCGACTGGCAGAAAAAAAGAAGTAGAAGAACTATGTTGAGAAAAGAAAAAACGACATTCTCTAATGACAATAAATAGACGAAAAGAAAAAAAAGGGAGAGAAAGAAAAACGGTAGAGTTCTTATTTCACCAGGTAAAGAAAAGAAAAATCAAAAAATAGAACGTCATTTGCCAGTTTGATAGTTGAACACGATTTAAACGCGTAAAGCATAACTTCATAGTTTAGGAGTTTGAAATCATCATTTTAAAAATCTTATTGCTGTTATCTTGTAGAGCATACTCTAAGGTATATGAAAAAAGATTTTGTTCTATTAATAAATACTTCAAATACTGCAGTAACAAAGATGTCACTAGTAGAGAAAGAAAATTTTTCTATGTATATTGAAACAGCCTGATATATCCAAGGTTACGATGTTCTATGTGTCGTGCTTCTTTGTAGGGAGTTTAAATAAAATTGTCATATATATGACATCATCGTGCAACAAAAAATGAGTATTGTTTTCTTTCTTCAACTATTAGCTTCGGCTGTTTTTTCTGCAAAAACTAAATCCTTAAAGCTGACTCTTTATCATCTATCTAATACACATACGTTTATTTGAACAATAAAAAAAGGATTTTCAAATAGTGATTTATTAATTAAAACTAACTATAAGCTATAACTATGGAATTTTCTTATTGATTACTAATAGTTTGGTTGCTTGTTTTTTGCATTTGCTGGCACTGGCTTCCAGAAACATTTTATTTGAAAATCTAATACATCACAGAAAATATCAAAGCGAACTGTACATTTTGATATTAAAAATTATTTCATATGTATGACTTTGGTTTGTAAGTAAATAAAACTTGAGTAAAATGTTTTTTGATCCTACGAAATAGTTGTCAATGTGCTCTTATCTATAATTACTTGGTGAATCAGATTTGTGAATATTTACGACCATCATAAGTTATCAAGACAATACAGCAAGTTCTCTTTACACTATACTGTTGAAATTTTGTATTGACAGATGAGTTAATAACTTTTAGATCGTATTGCAATATTTATTTCTTACTGGAAGAGATTTTAATTCTTTCAAATTTGCATGTCTAGAAGAAGATTTAAGACGTGGCAGATACGGATTGAGAATGAGACATGAGGCAAAATTTTCACAACGTATGGATATGATATGGAGAATAATTGATGAATTTCCTTGATTATTGATGATAGGTACTAGATACTCCTAATCTCTATACTATAATTTATTCCCATTGAAACAACATTGAAAAAATGTGAGATTAAGGAAGATTAAAATGGTACGTAATTATATCTAAAATGATATTTCAATCATAGTAAAAACGATCGGTCAATGAATATCTGCGAAAATACTGATCAAATTATTATGAATAGTAGAAGCAGTCTATAGGAAAATGTTCAATATTCGATAGAAAACAACAAGAATTTCTCTTATTTCAATAGTTTTCTAAATTATTCAGCTCGAAAATTATTAATCAGCTAAACCTAGAAAAGCATGTAAATGCGTTACTCTATGATGTTGGTCCTGACTGCATCGAAGTGCGTCCAATTAGTAACATATATTCGGAAATTGTTGTTTTCTCGGTTAATTTGAATTCTTTCTAATAAGTAATTCGAATTCGGATAGAAAATGCTCTCTGCAATTGTTTATTGTTGGAGCTGAAAGTCGTAAGTGCTACCACCAATAATCCGAACAAACATGTGAAATGGATGATCTTACATAGAAAAGAAACGGCTAGACGCATACATTTATTCTCTTGAGTTTGTTTTTAGTCTCAAAGAATTTTACTTAACTAGACAAATCATATTTATGAAATGAGTAAATGATTGAAAATATTCTTGTGTGAGTTGATCGTTATGCACAGTGTCTTTGTGAAAACAAAAGCACCACAATATCAAGATCTCTACATTTTCCATCCTGTTTAAAAGTGAAATTGATAAACTTTCCTTAAATCAAAATTAAAATCAATATAACAGAATCAACTGAGAATGAAACAAACGGTTAATCGTATTTATATAGTCTAGCATTCACAAGCGAATAGTTATAATATCGTCAGTTATAGTATTGTTCATGTTTGTTTCATTTTCTTTCTTTCGAATTTCTTGTTGATGTTTTTTAGTCCAGAAGATAATAGTCAAAACGGTAAATATGATCATCATACCAAGATAAATAACTAAAACTCCAACATTAATGCCGAAACGTGAATATGAACCAAACAAAAGATGTCGACCACCATTAATTACATGATATAAAGGTATTCCATAGCCATAACGAAAGAAACATGATGAAAGTTCAAGCGATATCTGGATGGTAGCACCAGAAACCATAATAACAACACAAATGACAAGAAAAATATTGGCAAATGCACCAAAATTGGTTAGAAAAAAAGATACTATAATACTCAACAACGTTGTACTCAACCAATTGAACATCCAATATTGCATAAATTGACGAGCCGATGTGATATGAAATAGCCAAAGAACAATAAGAGAATAGATCAAAGAAATCATCAACGATTGAAATATCTTATTCAAGACGTGACACAAGATCAGATCGACATAATGAATTTTACCAACTAGTAAACAAAATAATGATAACATGTTACAGTTGTTCTTTTCGAAAAGTAAATAAAAAGAAGTAGCTAGCAGGAACATGTCCAAGATTTTTTTCAAGAATCTTGCTTTCAATTTGGTAGGAAGTACATGTTAATTTCAGTGATTAAATAGACATATTGTTGCTTGATCATAGATTCTACAAGATTATGACCTCGTTTTTAGATTGTGAACTACACACATCATATACCTTTTTCTTGTAAATTGATAATGAGATGGAAGAAGTGTATTAATCACTATCACGAACAGCTATCCTCATATTTTTTATTCTACTATCAATTTAACAGAGAAAGATATCAGGTGTATATTTTACAACATCGTCGTCGAAATCTGATAAATAAAACTGTTCCCAATGAAAAAAGTATGCTATAATGTGTGATTTAAAAACTTTAATCCTTCTCATTAAACTAGTGTTACTGATTGGAAACAGGTACACAGTTAATTAGTGTGAATATACAATTTTTGTTTAGAGAAAAATTAGCGCTATCATCTAAACAAAAATTCATAGGAATGCATAAAAATCATACAATGTTACCTGTAGCTTTGCTAATCTTCAATAAACATTTTCGTCAAACTTACATGCTTTTATTTATATCATTGTTTTAGTATTTATCATTCTAGCCAAATGATATTAGTCATATTTTCTGATTATTATTGTTATTTTATAAAAATTAATTTGACTATGAAAGCTCCTCATACTGCGTTTTATTTTATAAACATAATCCGAATACATCGAACCAACAATATAATCTAGAACAACAAACTGTTATTCTCGCTTTCGTTCTCATCTAACATATCCTAAATAAAAAAAAAGCCAGTGTGGAAGATTTTGACAATATCAATAGTTTCATAAAATCACAATAATAATCAGAAAATATGACTAATATCATTTGATTCAAATGATAAACCCTAATAAACAAAAGCATGTGACTTTGACGAAAAAATAATGTTTTTGAAAAACATATGATGAAAATGTTCACTAAAGATTAGTGAAATAACTGTAACAGTGTACGACTTTTATGCAATATCGATGAGTTTTTGTTCAAATGATAATGCTAATTTTTCTCTAAGAAATTTGTATGTTTAGATCAATTAATAATATACCTGTTTGCCATAAATAACATCAATTCACAAAATAGATTTGGATGTTTTTTTAGTCACTCTTTATCTATAGGTAATTTATCAGCTTTTTATTACTTATTCAAAAATGATAGGATGGATTTTCTCAAAGTTAAATGTTTGTTTCCAAATAAAAGAACTACTAGTAAACAATGAGAAAAGATTAGTCTTACTGAATGGCATTAAGATACCAATGGTTGACCCAACCATAATTGTCGTAACCAAAAATAAATAAATGTAGCCAATAGTTGTAGCAAATTGACCTAAATCAAACGAAACAAATCATATTAAATATGTGTAAAACGACGTTAGCTTTTCCTTATTAGCAGTTCAGATCATAAAATATCTTTATGAATTATTATAAAGACAATAGCCAAAACATGTACTGATATTTTTATGTAGAAAAAAAAAGTTTAGAATTTTGGAAACATTTCCAAGATTTGTTTCAGTTTAAATAATATCATACTCAAACAGACCTACGTAAGGAAGAGCCCGATGAAGGTTATTATATTCTATAGCGAGTGGATTGACAAGGAGAGATCGAAGACGTAACGTGTTTTGTAATTGCAATGTTCGATTAGTACTTGAGCTAGATGTGGAGGATAAGTTGGAAATGATTGTTGTACGAAGTGTTTGACTATACAGATTGTTGGCTGTTGCAATAGCTGCACGAATAGGTGGTAATACAAAAATATTTTGAGTAAATGGATTTCGTCCTTCATCATAGATAACAAGCACAGGAAATGTGTTAACAAGTGGATAGGTCACCAATGTTGTAGAATTGATCAGAGCAGATAAAGACTTATTAATAGTTGATGTGGTATTTGGTTGAAGTACTACGACGGCCCACACTTCTCCATCATTGACAGATTGTTGAGTCGTATTCACACTATTGCCATACTCATCCGGATACTTGTATCGCCAGTGAAGAGTCCGATTTCCAGGTGATGTAGTTCGAAAAGCATCGAGAAAGCACTTACCAGCTTGTTCACCATCGAAATCGATTATCGCAACATCTATATTGCCCGTGTATCGATTTGGATTATGCCCAGCACCTAGATAGAACGCACACATAACGAAGATGAATATCCAAAGTGGAACATATCCGATAATCCACTGATATCCATACGCGACACGCAAGGTAGCAATGTCTTTTCGTGATGACCATACATGAACAAAGTCCATAGTTGCTGTTGGATCTAACGTCGAAATGTAAGCACTATTACTAGTTATTATCCGATCCAAAATGAAAGGCAGATTACCATTTTTCGAATAACTTTTGATAGGAACGTGATAGAGAGCTGCGATTTTCACCATTCGAAAGAGCGATGTTCGAGCCATCGATCGGTATAGACCTCATTAAAAGGAAAGATGCTTTTTTTTTTCTTATACATATCTTTGGATCAACACTTTTTCCTTTGAGTATTTTTATCAATTTTCAAAATAATCTCCACTCAAATTATGTCAAAATGTAGCTCAAATTACTCTTTTTTCGCTATAAAATTATCACATATTTCATTATCTCTCAAACTCTTATCCTAAGTGGATTGAAAAAAAAACAAATGTTAATTTTATAGCAAAAAAAGGGTGATCCGAGCTACATTTTGACATAATTTGAGTTGAGATTATTATGAAAATTGATAGAAATACTCAAAGAAAAAAGTGTTGATCCAAAGGTACCTATAAAAAAAACATCTTCTATCCTGATGAGTTCTATATCGATTGATGGCCCGAGCAAAGCTCTTTCGAATAGTGAAAATTGCAGCTCTCTATCTCATTCCTATCAAAAGTTATTCGAAAAATGGTAACCTGCCTTTTTAGATCGAATAATAGTCGATTATTAGTGTTTTATCATGAAGAAAAAAAAAATAATAAGATTCATGCATATACAAATATACATTGATAAAAGGTAAAAAAATGTGTCATGCTTCAGTGCACTTTCATCACATGTTTATACAAGCAATTTGAGCGTAATTATTGACGATCGATTCCTTTTCATTTGTAATCATCATTTTCCATATGAAAAAGTGTCCTCAATGGTGTTGTCTACTCAAACTCAACCATCACTGCCACACCTATGGTCTAGAAATGCTGACATGGCCAAGATACGTCGAACACTTGTTATTCACGTGATTCGTCTCTCGATCATTGTCTGGATTGTTATTTTTCTCATTGCACTAATTTATCTCGGCAGTGGTACAGTACGTTTATCTGTTCTATTTAAATATTTTATCTGTCTCAAATTGTTTCATTAAATAGATAATTGATGAATCCAAGGATGTGTTTGAAGAGATAAAAATGTCTTTACGGAAAAACGTTTTCTAACACGTTGCTAAATAGTGAATTACATTGAGCTGTAGCTATTGGGCAAGATTATCACATTATGTCTGAATTTTCATTAGAAAACAGGTCATTCATTTAGAAAAATTTGCGCTTTATTATTCAAATGTTTTCATACAAAATTTATGATCCTAGCTCACACCATTGAATAGCAATTATGACATCCTAAACAAATAATTTTAGTCGAAAGAAGAAACGATTGATCGTATATCAATTCTTTTTCTTTTGATTTCTATCCTTTCACTATTGTTTGTTTTCTATTTTGAATGTAGGATCCTTATAAGCACACGGGTTCACTTGATGTATACGTAATTGATTTGGATAATGATATTGCAGGTAGCTACTTCCTCACTGCCTTTCATCAAACCCCACCTGGTAACTTAACGCTTAATTGGATTTTCAAACAATCTTCCGACTTTCCATTAGGTTTTGTCGACAAGATTGAGAATGGAAAAGCTTGGGCCGTTGTTTATTTGAATCCGAGTATTACTGCTCGTATTAATCAGATCATTGAATCGATTTTGTATGGATTTACAACTAATTCAACCTCTTACGTTCCTTCATCAGCAGTAAACATTATTTATGATGAAGGTCGTAATGCAAATAGTGTCAATGAGTTCGTTTTACCTCCCATTCGAGCAGCTATTGCTGCTGCTAGCGCTAACTATGCTGCCTACATACAATCTCGTATTGATTCTTACTCAAATGCTACATTGAATAGCGTCATAATGGCTGTCTCAATGTCTCAAATTATCTGGTCACCTATTGGCTTCACCAATATAAATCTTCATCCTGCCTTTCCCTACGCTAGATTGCTTGCTACTAGTCTCGGTTATCTGTTTCTCTGGCTTATTATGAGCGCTCTTGTTGCAGTAACCATCCGCATCACGACACCATTCATTGACAAAGTCAACATCATCGATATAGCAATAGTACGCATTATAAACAGTGTTTTTCATAGTCTCATAATATCACTCATTTACAGTTTATGCGTTCTCTGGTTTGGTAATTTCACTGGAGCTATTCCGTTTATTAAATTTTGGCTTTTCAATTGGCTAGCTGCTGTCACATTTGTGTCTATAATAGCTCTGTTCACTCTCAATTTGGGAGTAATGGCTCATGTTGTACTTATACTCTTTCTTATTCTTAACTTCTCAACAGCAGGATCGAGTTTAGCAATTGAACTTCAACATAAATTCTATCGTATTGGCTACGGCTTACCTCTCTTTCATTGTTTGAGTGGAGGTCGTCATCTGCTTTTTGGTTCGCATACTAGATTCGGTGTTGACGTGGGCACCTTGATTGCATACTACGTTGTGTGTATTCTATTGACAATCACTACTAGTGTGATTCGAATGCGTAAACAACAACAAATAGCCATTAATCGCAAGAACGAAATGGCCTTGCAGGAAAGTAGAATGGCTTCTACACAATGAAGTCTATCAACAAAAAATAAATATACTAGTGTTGATAGTTATAACAATTTTCAATATTTTTGATTATCTTGTTAGTTTGTGTGATCATTGACATGTTTATCAAATCCATAAACACAAATTTTCAAGTTATTTATCCTTTTGCAGAATATTTATTTTTTCTTCATTATTATACTCGACGTTTGTCAATAAAATAAATATGATTTAAAGATATCAGTTTATTTTTTCGCAAAAAAAATAAGAATACAACAATTTTTCCGAGAAAAAACCAATATCAGAGAACTGTCTTTTCTTAAATTATCTGAAAAAGTTTCATTTGCCAAAGTTTCTGATTAAATTTCGTTCTGATCTTATGAAAAATTTTTCCTAAAATTTTATTGTGAGAGTATGCTTGGAAGTCTAGAACTCCAAATCGGTAGAATATTTTTCAACCGAGCCATATCCACCAGTTAAATTCTTGACTTATCAGCGAAAACTTACATAATTCAACCGATGAAAAACCGATTAGTTTAACATATTAACTAACCGACTAGTTTTGCCGAGAAAAATTTGATTGCTACAACGCCTTAACGACATACAATGTGATGTTCATATGGCTTTTAGAGCTTCTACTAGTAACAACTTCTATTTTACCCTGGTACGTTTCATATACGTATGTTAATACTAAGAACAGAGGAAGAACTTTTTCAAAACAAGTAATGAAACTAATATAATAATTTTGATTTTCTCAGAATAATCAAATTCACTGGATAAAAGTGATCTAAATATGATGAACGTTATCGATTAATTTCAATTTTTTTCATTTTTTTCATTTCATGACCTGTGAAGAAGCCAAGTACAGAGTTTTTTAGTCCAACAGAAGATATTTAAAATGAAAATAGTAACACTTTGATGTAATATATCAGTGTAATGAAAGTCAGGTTTTTTTTTGATGCATCTCACTCATTCATTATGTCAAAATTAAACATAATTACAGAATTAAAGTATGTTAGAGTTCAACAATGATCAAGTAATACGTTTTGTTCAAAAGCAAGATAAAGTAGTGTGAGCTTTCCTAAAGTACTCTGATCGAATCAATTCTAGGATTAGAAGAGTTAATATCATGCGTCATATCCTCAGCAAAGAGTAATAAAACATAACTTTTTGATAATAGATTTTTTTCTAGTTCTCATATGATACACTATATGAATAATTTCTTCTAGCTTAAGACTTAGTTGAAAAACATCAATAGTTACTGAATCAAATCTATTTCGTCAGTTCTTAGCATCATAGGAGGAAATTGTCAAAGTATTGAGACATTAAGTTAAACAATTCTTTCATGACGTATGTAAGTTGTGTATGTTTGAGAATATATCATTAATAGGATTGTAATCATAATAAAAAATGTATGAATAATATTGCGTGATGATTATCTTAAGGTAGTGAAAATAAATATCACAAAAACGAAAAGATTTTATCATCAATTTTTGGTTTATTATTGGAATTTTGTGTTACACGAAAAAGATATTCTTTCCTACAATAAGATAAATATGCTCAAACTATGAGAACTTTCCATCAGCAAATCAAAAACTCATTATTATCTCTGAGTTGTTTTATTTTTTCTTAGAGATGAAAAACCCAAAATTAGAAAGTATACAGATTCAGGTTTATCTATCGCTATGCAGCTACAATTTTTTTAAAAGTTATATTTGTTATTAAAAGGAGAGTATGTATTGAAATATATCAATCAATAAAAGTCGATTTTTTATTTTACTAGATATGATCTTCCTGAATAAACCTTGCACAACAGTCAGAGAAATAATCTACGGATCAAGAAATAATTTTTACTAGATAGTTTTAAATAATCTAGGAGATTTATTCGAAAGAAAGAGTTTTTTATGAAAATTTATGATTAAGAAGAAAAACTTTGATGAAGAATAACGTTTCTTTGAATATATTCGCTTAAAATTATTTCAATGGAATCATTTGAAATTAATAAGATTCGTAAAGTAATGAAAATTTATACTAATTTTTCTAGTCAATATAAAAATGAAATATTTCTAAGAAAAATAAGCAATTCTTTATAATGAAATACGCAATACACTTTTGATAGTCTTTTTTTTTAATACTTCGTTTCTCATTAATCATTTCAAATATATTTTAGACCGTGAAAATTCTAGAACGTAATACATCTTAATTAAAGACGAAGAAAAAGAAAACGTCAATTTGATGTAAATTGCAGAGCTCATACTTATATTTTATAAGCTTATAAGCAGTGTATAGAATCAAAATTAATTTTATTCAATCATGGCATCATCTACA